CGTGGTTTAATTTTGAATTCAGTATGCCGTCGACTTTGAAACCGATCACACAAGCCTTCACACTAGAGTATAGTACTTCGTCAGTTCCAAAAATCATTTTCGTGAACTATATAAAATTGTTTCTTTACATTTTTTATTACATGCCAAAGGGGTTTCGAACATAAAGAAAACCGGAACTGAAAAGATTTTTTGGACCTGAATTCGTAATTTTATCACACTGTGAAAGGGTTAAGCGTTCTAATTATATTACACTAGATATTTCATTTGATATTAATGTATTTTCATTCCACAGAGGTTAATTATTTTTTCCGTTTCGAAATAAAATTCTCTACTGCATGGCGAAACGCGAGAGCAATGTTTCGTATAATTTTAATTTCATCGATGTTGATAGAGTACCTCGGCGACGCGAGATGTATTTTCTGCAGCTGGTAATCGGTGCATGTACAACAGCGTGTTCGATAGTTGACTATACATATCACTTCATAATGGTTTTCTTGCACCATCCATTTATAAATTGGAAGAGCTGGACAATATTTGGTTGCTTGTGATTCGTTGCAGGGCCAGAGAAACTCTGTACGTTATTCGCAATTGCACCTGAGTGCTTGGCTTGCTTTTAAGTTAATTGCTTGGCTGTATTTCCTAAATTAAAGTTGTTGCTGCACCTTTACGCGAGCTGCTATTAAGGATTTTACACGAAACTACCGTGCGACAAGGTATTTCTTCCCTATGCCGTGCTCATTTTTAAGCCTCCTTTCGGTGTCCTCTTTCTTAGCGTTTTTATCCCATAGAGTATGCAGATATCATTACGCGAACATCGTGAATCTCACGTGTATTATATATTCGAATATTCCATCAAGCTCCAGTTTTTTTTATTTCAAATTCTATATTTAAACAAATTTTTAAACTTCACTTTACCGAATAGATAGATAGATAAATCTTTATTGTTTTCCTATTGGATTACAAGGGTTCCGACTCTTCTCATTCTCCATACATATTGCTTATCTATACATTCTCTTTATAACTAATTGTTAATCCTAATTAATAGACATATAATAATCTCTAATATTAACTATTTCAACTTATTCTAACTATGCAAATATTTAACTAATGTACTTACTTTATATAAAATATCATATAACCACTAGAACAACCGCTTCGCACTCTCGTCGCCAACCAACTGACGGCACCTTTTCAGCCCTGGCCCAACGCTTCTTAGTTCGCGAGTCATAGGGGGTAGTCGTAAAGACATAAACCAGGCCCCCATTGACTCGGAACCCTTGCCGTCGCTGTGCGTGGAAAAGAGTCTTTTTTCATTTATAGTGATGCGTCCCTAAAAATCCTTAGCATTCGATTTTTCAACACAAATTTTTTGAAGAAAGATAGAAAAGGAAAAACTGACCATCGCAATAGAGCTTGCAATTCTTTGCGAAGAGAGCTAAGAGGAACAGTAGCACTTATTTTAATGTTTTACTCAATTTTTGTGACCGGTGACCATAGTCACCCATAGTAGCGAAAGGGTTAACACGTTAAATGTCACACCGGTCCCCAGGGACCAGCGCTAGACCTTCCGTTTGGGCCCGGCCGGTCCTCAGGGACTGGCCCCAGACTAGGACCAAAAGCTGCTAACTTTTGGTGTTAAATTCTTCGCCATCTTTGGACTTAACGTTTAGGAATTTCTGTTATAACGATTGGTACAGTATCTCCGAGGTTTATGAATACTTCTCCCACCGCCGGTGGCCCACTTGACGGTCGAGTCTGGGCCTGAGCGGAACGGGCTGGGCACTTAACGTGTTAATAACACAACTGCTAGAAATTCGCGACTGATTCACAAAAGAAAGTGTAAAATAACCACTATCGGATAACTGATCAGAAAACTGATTTCATAGGAAATATTTTATTCAACTATAGCAGATACCCAGTAGATTACTAAATGTTAATTCGTCGGAAACGAGTACCATATTTTTACATAATTAATAACCAGACGTGCGAAGTGTTAGTTCACGCGATTATTGAATCATTCAGTACTCTATATTCCGTAACGCCGATAAATATGGATTCTCATCGATGAATATTGATCGGCTGAATTACGATATTACCGTTGAATATTAAGAACGAATATCGACGATTTAAATGTCCGTTTCATTGAATAACGAAAATGTGCAAAGTTCGTGGGATATATCGGGTATCACACGTGTCGAAATTTCTCTTTTCGGTGAAATCTCTTAGCGACTATCGGTGACCGTGGATAACGAAATGAAATGCTAAACAATAATTCCAACGAACGGGAATAATGATAGGAAAATAGGAAAAAGGCGAGCAGATCTCACGGTCACGGTTATTAAATTATAATTACCGTTTGATCGAAGTTAGTTGCATTTGCATGCTACGCGTACACACGCCCAGGATATCGAACATCGATGTACGTGGCTACACTACCACGCGGATACCAATCCTCACTGCTATTGATGAATATCGATTTCCACGTCTACGGTGTTCGCTTGTTGAATAGTGTTTCCTAACAAGATCCTACTGGAAAGCGTTTGTACAGTGCTCGAGATACACGAGGAATGCCTAAATGGCGGCTTTGATAATTTCGTCGAGGTAGTAATATTAATAACATTGGCAACAATACGTCATTTTGTATTAAATATATTTTATCAATTTTTGACGTACCATATCACTCGTAATTTCACGTCATATCCCACAAGGCGTAAAATTAACTCGAATAATGGATGATTAATATGAAATTAAGAAGGTTACACGATAATATAAAATTACTGGGAATTTTTGGAAGACCGAAATTTTCTAGGACGACGACTGCACACTCGAATACAGGCCATGGGTGGCCATTTAGAGGATCTTTTGATCTAAGGCACCCGAGCAGAGTGATGTAACCGACCGGGAAATGATAGTACAGTCAAAGTTAAGTTGATAAAAACGAATAAAATTTTTTCGTTTGAGGCTTCGTTTTTCGAGATAATCGAGTTAAAAAATTTGAGCACTCAGCGCGACACCTGCGGAGTGCCGACTACTATTTCAAACTCGATTTCCTCGAAACCGAGGCCTCAAATGAAAAAACTTTATTCTTTTTTTCCAACCCATTTTTTCATGCAGAATAATTCCCCGGCCATAGATCTATTTTTAAACGACAGAAAGTGGCGGAATCATTGAAAAATTTCCCCTTTATAACCATTTTCGAAACGGACCGTATTTGAGCGTTCAGAGTACGAATGAAAATGATACAATACCCGATCAGAATAATTCTTCGTTCCTAGTTATGAAAGATTGCTAACGATTTCGCGCGATTCAATGCAGGTTTCGCTGTGTCAAATGATATAATTAATTTTCGTTTAAACTCGCGGTATTTTCCTGCCGTTATCAAAAAGGGGCGACAAATTTTTCCCTCACCTGTAATAAATATTTGTTATTAATTCTCTGGAAGGCTGACGGAAGTTGCGCGAATGCAAGCATAATAGATCATAGCGGTTGCATAGAGTGCGAAGGAATTAAAAAGCGATTCACGAAATTTCCTAAATATTTTTGCTAGTTTGCACCGGTTGGGGCATTTAATTACCCAACTCCAGGCTTCCCGGCCGCTCCTTCTTTCTCTTAATTACATTTTTTCAATTTAACGAGCCGTCTTCGTCCGACGGCCACAAAGCGTTCCGGTTTTCTATTAAAATTCTTTCGCATTAGCGTTTTATTAAAAGCCTCTTCGCGCGCGGGGTTCATTCAAAGAGCATTCCTTTCGTTATTTTACCCACGTATGGCATAACGAACGGCCCACGCTTGTTTCGATACACACGCTTCGCGCGATTTTTCTTCCTCCAAATGGTCCAGCTATTTTTTAACGAACGCGCTTGAATCGCGTTTAGAAACCGTTTGAATGCGTTTGAATGGCGTTTGATCACGGTTTCCGGCTAGTCTCATAAATAATTGCTGATTCTTTCCTCTGTTAATTTCTCGCGTACTCGAGCGGGAATTTAATTAACGTTTAATTAACGAAATTAAAGCGTCATAATTAAATCAGTCTCGCCAATCAATTTTTTTCGTCACGCTAGAACGTTCCACGCTCGCAGATTTTTATCGGTAATGGACGCGCCAACCCCGCGAATCCCTGTTCGAATTAACTAGGTTTTCGTTTCGCTGAGAGGTATCAGCGGGGTCCGACGAAACGCTGGAAAAATTTCGCCTGGACGAGCCGCTGCGTTATTTTTATTTCTCGTTTAAACACGGCCCTGCCCGTGCAAACGGAAAAAATCGCGAAATTGAGAGCAAACGAGAGCAATGCTACCCCCGCTTCGCGTTTACACTTTCTTCCCTTTTCTCCCTCTCGCGCTGAAATTTAAAAAAAAAAAAAATAAAGCAATTGATCATGGACGAATTATACAGCGGCGGAATATTCGATGATCGCTCAATTTTTATCGTGCAGTCGATATTTCTAACGAGGATTGGTATTTGCGAAGGAAGGTAGTGCTTGCACAGTGGTTTCGGGGTAAAGATATTCGGGTAGTAAAATTAATAGCTTCGTTTCATCGGATTCTACACGGTAGAATCTGCACAGTGTTATTCGAGCAGCGAATTTGCAAGGGAAAATGGGAAATTAATAAACTGAAAGATAGTTTAAGACGATGGCGTGAAAAGGGATCGTGAGAAAGATCCACGTAACTGCTTTAAATTTGTTTACCGACATTTTCTGGAATAGAAAATGAAACGAATTAATTATGTAAAATATTTTCACCATCTCCACTTTTCTCTCGTTCTGTTGTACTCCAGAGCGATTTAAAAGTGAATTAAACGGTGCTTAAATAGCATTTGCAACTTTTCTCAGACTCAAGGTACTTTGGAACTTAGCAACTAAGAAGAATTCCGAACTATCTTAAAATTTTTGGTTCGAGGAATCCTTTTGAATTTTACTAAAGTCTCGCATATTTCTCGAGTGTAAGGAAACATTTGATAGCCTCGGATAGGATGATTAACGATGACATTCGATGTTTCAGGTAGTATCCCAGACTTAATGCCAGCCCTTCTTCTAATTCACGGTGATTCCTATTCTTGGGGCGCTGGAAATGCCTTCGACGGCACTGCGTTGGCTACTTATGGTCGTCTTATCGTTGTTTCCATTAATTTTCGTCTCGGCGTACTCGGTGAGTATCCCTTTCATTTTGTTTATTATTTACAATTGTTTTTCCATATTTTTTCTTTTTATTCCATAACTAGAAACTCCCTTAAATCGCGTAATTATTAAAATTATTAAAACTAAAAAAGGGAATTAAAACATAGCCTCGTTTAGATTAATTTCAATTCAGGACGAAATTGATAATCCGTCTTTCTCGTTCCACGAGTTGAAACACGTGTACTCGTGTAATGAAGGTTTTGTCCGCGAAAAATGTCACAATCGTAGGCGTCTAGCTTTGACATTCAAGAGAATTAGTCTCGTGGAAAACTTTGAGCTGGAAAAAGATTTAATTTTAGAAATAAAGTGTTCAAAATGTTATAGAGAGGAAATTTTAATAGAGATGCCAAAGAAACATCGTGCCTACGCGATTTGTGTATTTTCGTTACCTTTGTATACTTAGATTACACTGTTTGACGCGAAATTTAACATGTAATATTCATTGAGTAATTATCGTAGAGTTTACTTTGCTGGAAATAAATCCATAATCGAAATTGCCTTATCACGAAAATTTAAAAACAAGCCACGTACTTTCTACGTAATATTCTTGCATTTGTATAATAAGTTCTTAATCTGACACGAATTTGCAAGACAGTATCATATTCTGTAAATTCTTCTGAAGAAGAAAGCATGGAACAGAATCAGTAACGTAGTTTTCAATTCGATTAGATCGAGAAAATATTCGTTTGTATAGTGTATATGAGGTTTTACTGCCACGCAGCCATTGCTCGATTCCCTAGCCTCGACAGTGCCATAGCTACACGGTATCCCAGTACCAAATGTAACGGAGCTAACATATAACAATCTACAAAAAAAATAGAAAAATACAGTTTCCCTATAAAATTTCGGAAAATTGACAAGGTTTATAAGGAATTTAAAAAATTTACAAGAGTTTAGAGATATTTTAAACTTTGTGCGTAGCCCTTAGCTTGGTATCGTTTTCCAAAAATTATTCTTTGGAAAACGATACCAATTACCAGGTCTCACCACGAGGAGGTGGCTACGCATCGAGACCCGGACATGCGTCCTAGTGGCGCAGCCTGCTGGCGCTATCTGTATCAAAGGTACCCTAATCTAACTAGGAGCGAATAATAAATTAAAGTGACTCTACTGACACTTTATAAAATTTCGTGTCTTATCAAAGGGACTTCGATTCGGTATACTAAAATTTATTACTTTACTGTGGCAACACTAACAGACTCTAATATTTCTAAGTTCCCACAAAATTCGGGAATCAAATATGAAAAACGCGAGCAAAGAAAGTTAAGTAGAAATCGCGACGCGCCCGAGCGAGTTTGCGATTATTCGAAAGACCGACTAGCCTAGGCGATGTACTCCCGTGTACAGAGATAACTTCATACCTCGGCATCCTCCCGCACGGGCCTAGCTCAATTCCAGTCACTGTCGCACTCGCCAAGACTTACACGTGGACCAAGGATAGTCCCTGAATCAATGAAACTTCTAGTGTCAACGCGAGGGCCCTGCTGGGCGGTTGCCGGCCAAGACAGACACTTCGCATCCCAGCCACACGGGGTAGAACTTAATCATCCCTGTGGTCTAACCGTAGATGGTACTAGTCCGTCAGCCAGCATGTGCCCGAGCCCAAGTCGCGTACGACTTAGGCAGCGGACCGCCCCGTCGAGGTCAGAAGACGCACTGATCCGAGGGGGTCTCCCTGGAACCCGATGCATGACGAGATTGACAGTGACTGGAAATGAGTGTCGGAGACGAGTCGTGAGGATGACTTACGAAGCATGTACTTATCCAGTACACGAGAGCACGTCGCGTAGGCTAGTCGGTACTTACGAATGATCGCGATTATCGCGAGAACAATTATGTTCAATTTGCTAAACGAGGGGGATAAGAAAATGATAGAGAATTTATAAATTTCGCTCCAAATTAGGTAGCTTACCTTTGTACAGATAGCGCGCACATGATACTTAGTCTATGGATCTATCTTATGACCACTTATATCTACTTAGGTCTAAACGGACGTCGTCCAACGATATCTTGAAAAACCTGTAAAGCTGAAAAGAAATGGATTAGTAAAAGATTAGTAAAACATAATAAATACACATATAATTATCAAACAAATATAAATTACGAAGATGAATCAAATAGAATGATTAACCCCACGATGAGACATGAACAACCCAACGATGAGATATAAACATCCCAACGATGAGACATAAATAAACCAACGACGAAACATTCGAATATTGTACGAAATATTCGAATGCTTGAATAAAAATGAATAGAAACCAAAAAAAGAAGATCTGAAAAGGGAAAAATAATTAAAACCTGAGAAAAATTGTTATTAGATTATTTAAGAGATGGGGTGTGTATGGATTGGACCACCCCAACCTCTTACAAAATATAATCAACCCAACGATGAGATATAAATAAACCAACGACTAGACATTCGAATATTATACGAAATATTCGAATTGTCAAATAAAAATAAACATCTGAAAGGAGGAAAAATAATTGAAAGCTGAAAAAAAAAATAATTAATACCTGGAAACAAAATAAAAATTATTAGTAAATTGGTTAATGGGGTGGGCTGAGGGGGGGGGGCCAGCCCCAACCTCACTTCGAATCCCTACCCCTCGCACACAACTAAAATTTAGATGTTACACTTCCGAAGTCGAACCGACGAATGAGCCATGCCGTGTCGCGTCGCCCCTTATATAGCCTCGATCAGTCGAGCCCCCCACTCCGTTCAAAAGTTTTCCAACTTTGCCGATTCCATTAATTATTATTTTTCCGCTGTAATAACTAATAATTTATTAATTTTTCATTTTTATTATAAATATACGTAGCAAGCAATTTGTTATTAACAATATTAATTTGTTATTAACAATCGGTGCAATAATTTTTAAACATTTTGCAAATTGTAGATTGCTTTTTGACACAAGTATATTATAAATTCAAGTGATAGCCAATAATTTATTAACTTCTTCATTTTTATTATAAATTTACATTGCGAACAATTTGTTATTAACGATATCAATTTGTTATTAATAATAAATTTGATAATTTATACATGTTTTATAAACAGAAACTCTAAACTGAAACTGAAAACACACTTATAAATATTCGTTCTCGGAATTTAGATATTATAAACTATTTATTCATACCTTATATTCTGGATTAATTTTTGTACAATAGTCTACAATTATCGCCAATTTTAAAATAATTTCCCCAAAAATTTGTCTGCAAGACATTCGACATACGTTTTCGCGCAGATTCACCCCTCAACCCTGTCTCGTAAGCAGTAACGGACCAACCCGTGTATACCGGCGAACTGAATGTTAAATATCGCGAGACCGAGAAACTCGAAGATGCATAAAAGAGTGATTACAATCGCGCACAGCGTCGGGATGCTCTTCAAATAAAGTCTTGGAAGTTCTCGCTCGTTACGGTTGATTTTGTTCCGCACCCTTTGCTGAAAGTATGACGTTCTCGTTTGTCTTATTTCCCTTCTACCTCGAGTACCAGCAAACCGGACTTCTTTCCCAACTTATATTAAATCCGTAACAATGCCTTCAACTTCGAAGTCGGTCAGCAGCCAGTATGTTCTCCGGCTGAAATCGCTAATCGATGCAGAACAACTTCTCTGTATTCTTCCCGAAGGCGAGAGGAAAAGAGAAAAAAAGGAAAATACTGAAAAGGGTTAGGAAAGAAATTATTCTCGGTCGGAATAACGTCTTTTTCGAGCTTCCTTCTCGTATTTTTATTTCTCGCGGTGGTTCGTTCCGATCGAAATTTCCTTTCTTCTATAATTAATTGAAAAAAGAGAAGAATATGCAAGCAATTGTAGGATACCATTTCCAAAGAAATCGCGAATCGGCTATTACCAAAAAAAAAAAAAAAAACAAATTATAAACCGATCAATATTTTTTAGAAGTAAATGGAAAAGTTATTTTGGGTAACAAAATTAAGTTGCTTGGTCCCTACGGGGAGGTGAAGCGTAAGTTAAGAAAAGCATAAAAGCAGGGTCCTTGATGACCAAAACAGAGTCCTTAGAAATCAGTTGCGACCAGCACGAGCGTGAGTCTTTCTTTACAGAAAATCTTACAGAAAATCTTTCGTTACAGAAAAATAGTAATTCGAAGACTTTCTGCCATAAAGTCGAGGATATTTTTAGAACGATAAATAAGAAATCGTATGCAAATTAAGACGTGGAATTATTATACCTCGACATTCCACGCATCGTTGAGTAATTTCAGATTTGATATATTAATTAACATCGATCTTTAGAATATGATTAAATGGCGACTGAGAGGTGCCTCTCGAGTGCAAAGGGTTAAATTAGAGTACGTCTTTGTGAGTTTTCGGTTCGTTATCTTGGTATTCTTTTTCTAAGTTAAATTAGTTTCATGAATTTTGGGTTGTTTTGTCAATTTTTGGTGTCTCAAAATCAGTTTTCGCCATCCTATACAATTTTCCTTTAATTTTACCATTTATTATTTATAAAGAAAATTAATTTTTCATTTTCATCTCAGGGTTTAAATATTAAACAGTACTTTAAGACGTTTAAATATATTTTTATTCGCTAGTCTAAAACATGTAAAGCAGGTTTAATTAAAAAAGGGAAGAAAACGAAATTTGCATTTTGAGGTATTCGGGGAATTATCACTAGGCAACCACCGATACCAACGTTTCCAGAAAAAGTTAAAGCAAACAGGATACAACACGGTGGAGGAATATTCTTTGCTTCTTACCGAGGTCCAAGTAATGGTTTTTGTTTTGGATTCGGGTGAGTCGTTTAAGAGAGAATGAGGATTCCTTCGACGAAACAGGATTAAACTTCTAATTATCCACGGTCAACACATCCTAAGTGGTTTCCGCAGGCCAATACAAAAGTTTCCTTTCCCGTTCTTGAAAAGCGGATGCAAGAGGATGCGACCCAGCGAAAAAGGCTTTTTGCTTGTTAACGAGTGCACCGGAATTTACATAGTTCCCTTT